CATCACCTTGCCAACAAAAGTACACATAGTCAAAGCTATGGTTTTTCCTGTAGTGATGTATGTAAGTGAGAGCTGGACCATAAAGAAGGCTGACCGCTGAAGACTTGATGCTTTTGAATTGTGGTGCTGGAGGAGACTCTTGAGAGTCCCCTGGAATGCAAGGAGAACAAACCTATCAATTCTAAAGGAAATCAACCCTGAGTGCTCACTGGAAGGACAGATCCTGAAGTTGAGGCTCCAATACTTTGGCCATCTCATGAGAAGAGAAGATTCCCTGGAAAAGATGCTGATGTTAGGAAAGTGTGAAGACAGGAGAAGGGAACGACAGAGGATGAGACGGTTGGACAGTGTCATTAAAGCTACCAACATGAATTTGACCCAACTCTGGGAGACAGTGGAAGACAGGAGGACCTGGCATGCTCTGAACCATGGGGTCACGAAGAGTCGGACACGACTAAATGACTAAACAACAATATCAAGCAGAGGCTGGCCTGTTGGGGATGCTTTGGCTCTCCTTCCCCTCTGTCAAACATGGAGGTGGAACAGGTTGGCTACAGTATCCTCCCTTCCTGTTTTATTATCTATTTATCATTATTCACCCTTTTGGAGTGAAAGGCTACGTGTAATTATAGATTGTGTATTGCCCTTAGTACCACATAATGTAAGAGTATGTTTCTTCTGTGTGACTAAATAGAGGAAGAGGGGTAGCAAAGCTGCAAAATTTTCCCCTATGAAAAAAAACAGCTAGGCAGTTTTGTACTACAGATGTGCAAAGATTCTTCAGTACAGTGTGATCAAGTTTTGGAAATCCTGGATGTGTAGCATATCTAACTATGGAGAAGGTCACTGACTGGAGGACAGCATTCCACAGAGGTACTTTCCATCCTGTTGCAGATTTTCAAATGGTCAACTGAGGCAGGAAGAAAAATCTTATCCCAGTCAGTGGTCAAAATATAAGATTATTATCTGTCTTTCATTTTACCAGAAATGCATATAAGATTTCCCTTCCCTTTTCAAGTAGCTAGATTCATTTCTCCATTTCTTCTTACTAATTTCCTCTCTGTATTAGGCAGGCCTTTATCTTCCTTCTCCTAACTGGAAGCCAGGAGATGCAGAGAGAGGAGTTTGCCTGGCCACTGGCCAGCTCTCAACTCGTACAGTGAACTCCTTCTACTTTTCCATCACCCTTGGACTTGAGCCCAGAGGCACACCTCACAGAAGCCAGGTGTGGCTGTCATGAGCTCACCTGCCAGTGGGTGGGACAGGGCTCCTGTTAAAGCAACAGCACCCTGAAGGCACTGAAATCTGCTCAAGCTTTCCTTCTGCCACACTTCAGGGGCTGAACACATCACAGAACAGAGCTGCCATTTAGGTAATGCAGGGGATTCTTTTTTTCTTCTTCTTTTCCTTCCACTTTCCTCATTGTTTCCCCCTTTTCTAGCATTGTTTATTTAAACCAATTGTATAATTTCTGCCTATTGTGAAACATAATTTCTGAAGAACTAGAATGTAAAATGTAGGATCTCCTCTTTGGAGAATTTCTTGCACGGTGACATTAGACACTTGCTTTGAGGATCGAGTTTTGTTCCAGAGCTTCAAATACTATGCTGGAAACAGTGCTTAATATGCTTCCATCTATAGAGGGCACTCATATTCTATATCAGAGCATGGAGACATTTTTAGGCTACAATTCCTAGTGACCATGCTGACTGGAGGACACTATTCAAAAAATGTAATTTTACAGTCACTGTTTTGCATTATGGCCATTATACTGTTCACTATTTACACATGTGGAACTCCAGCTGTGGAAGCAGACTTGATGCTCTGATAAAGTGCAGGTTGCATGCCTAGTCATGTGCCATTACCACCTTGCCAGGTCACTGTGGCAGCTTTTGCCCTTTTAGACATATTGGATGGTGGTCTATATTAAGCATTGTGCAAAGCTTCCTTAGAAATACTATTCTTGAATGCATCGACACCTGTACAGTGTACTAATTCTTTTTCCTTGAATGTTCAGGTGATATTGACATGGGGTTTGGAAAAGAGCCTTTTGCTTGTGAAGCTGCTGGATAATATTGCAATGGGGGAATCATTAAAAGTTTTTTGGCTTTCAGGTTAAATACATGAAAGGACTCCTTGAGTGACAAATCCCTTTGATTCACAGTCTTACAGAGTAGAAGCACCCCAGGTCCAGAATTCAGAAGACTAGCATATGGGTCCATCCTGCCTGATTCTGTCCATATATTCTGAAGCCAATGAAAATCGACCTTATTACAAAAGGACCGTACAATCTCCACCAATATTAATATAGCCAATGCTACTATTCAGGGGTGGTTTTGTTTCTTCACAAGTGGATGTTTCACAGGAGGCAGCAATAACTGGGATGGTAAACCAATTGCAAACCAGCATAGTGTGCAATATCTGAAATCCTACGTAGAGTAGTCCCACTTATCATTTTACCTGACTAGCTTAATTTAAATCTCATTGGTTTCAGTGGAGCTTCTCTAACTGTGACATAAGCTAGAACCAGCCCACTGTCACCAATTACGTACCCTGTTAAGAAGATGATCCCCAGAGGAGGGAGCCAACATTGCAGTACTCCAACATAATAGCTATCTTTCTCTGGGTGTTTTTCTGCTAGTATTATTCTGAGATTTTTTTGAAATTTATTTACATTTCTGTACTGCCCCATTAGCATTGTTACTCTCTGGGCGGTTTACAGTATACATTCTGTACAATAAAAACATATATATATAGCCAGGAACTCGATTCATCATTAACAGAACTAGCAATCCTTTCATGATAAAGTGGTACCAATGGCCACATTTATAAGAAACATGTACTAAGCTTCAAATGAGGGCACTCAGATGAAGTGTATCTTCCTTACTACAGAAGATATGTCACAACCACAGGTGTGTGAATCCAACATAGTAGGACTTATACATATGGGAAAAAAAATCCTGTAGCCTCATTAGTGTAGAAAATGAACTGCAATTTTCTATTTTTCGAAAAACAATGATAGGACAATACTAGGAGTCACATGTCTGGTGGAAATGGCGCTGGTTAGGAAATCCAAGGCTCTGTAATCATGTGTAATTTGCAAAAGGTGAGAAGGTAGGCGTGATTCTCCAGATGTTTGGGAGAGATCTTCCTCACCTTTTCCCATGCTCGGTCCTGCTCTTCCAGAGTCAATAACTTTGGAAGTAGCTGAAGTAGTGGTGGGTGGGTGTGCGCATGGGTGCAACCTTTTGTTCACATCAAACCTCTGTAGTTCTTATCGTTCCTTTCCCCTCTTGTAATTTAAATGGTAAGGACAAACAGTCTGCTTGCCTAATCCAGCAGTAACACAGAAGGGAAGGCTGGCTCATAGATTACCTGTGCCTTAATCATCACTGGGCTCTTTTGTGGTTTACCTGGATTATGAGGGTGCGCCAGTGATATTGAAGGATACAGTTGCCACAGTGATTGGGGCTTGTTTGTTTTGACTGAATTAACAACAACCTATGTTATCAGTATAACATAGTCTAATGTTAATATGCCTTCAGGTTATCATATATTTGGAGTCCTATAGCATAAAACAGTGTGTGCGTGCATGTATGCATGTAAAGCTCCAGATTCTGCAGATGAAACATTGAACAAATGGAGATCAAGTACTATTTGACCCTCACTGCCTGCTATCCTTATGTTCTGTCCATACAGGACATTCCGAGAGAGGGATTGTGCTATAACAGTTACAGTGTCAGACAAAATTTTGGAAAATCCAGTTCTTTCAATTAGCTCAGTCAGTCTGTCCTACCCACAGGACTGTTGTGAGGATTAGAAATGAATGTACACAAGACTTTTACAATAAATTGCAGTATACAAATGCTGTGTACTTTCTTTGCAGAGCCAAATTTTATGTCATCAGTATGGGCACTCTGCCTACTTTCCCTGCCTCTTCCGAATCTATATTCTTTCAGAATCAATATTAAAAGCCCAGGGTTCATGTAATCTCCTGTTTCAGAGTTTGTAAATGCTACTAGTGTGGGGGTGGGGGAGAGGATGTGTCTTTAGAATTCTGGGGGTTGTTCCAAAAGTAGAATTGCAATCCTTGCCGGATTCTCATAGTTACAGTTCAATGAGGCCATATTGTCATGAGGGAGGGGGTGGAATCTGGAAGTCCAGAAAAAGTAATTACTCTAAGCTCTCTTCTAATCCCTTTCTTTCTTTCTCCCTTTTTCCTGCTTGTGAAACATGTTTTTCCTAGCAGAATCACGATTCTCATTCTGTTTTTCAGCACTATTTGCAAACCGATCCGTATACAGTAGGTTTCTAAAGTTAAGATCTTTTCGCCTGTAGCTGTCCTTCCCCTTCCTTGTTGCTTGTCTATATTAGAGTGTGAACCCATAGGCAAGGCTTGTTTCCTTTTAACTTTTGTAAAGTGCTTGACTTGTAGAAATAATCATTTCCTTGGAAGCTCTTATTCTGAAAATAGACACCAACAATACTATATATAAGCTCTTAGCACAAGGTGCCTGGACTAATGTCTTGGAATCAAGACTTCACCCAGTTCTTCAACCTTCATTAAAATATGGTTTCTTCTTTAAAAACATTGTGCATAAATTCATGTCATTATCCAGAAATTCAGAATTACCTACTTCTTTTTAGGGTCAAACTACAGTATATATGTCTACTGCCTTTTTTGCTCAATTGCCTCCCAAAGTGAGACTCAACTCTTTGATATACCAGCGTGATTTTCCTCATCTGCATATAGAGTAAGCATCTCCAGGGGTTGTACTTTGTTTTGTGATTGGTATTTACAAGGTAAACATGAGCTTAAATTGTAAGCCTGGTGGTTGAAGAAATTTTGAGAAGCAAGATGAATGAGTCACATTAATCACTTTAAAAACCTTTGGGCGCTTAGAGAAATGAAGTTTGGGGAAAGCTGCCTCGTTGTTATTACAGTGCGGGCATCTCTAAGGGCCATTCAATGTTAGTTGGCCTTTACTATTGATGGCACAAGAGAGACTTGACCACTACAGTGTTTTACCTAATTTAGGTTTGTCTTAGCTTTCCTCCCAAGAAGCAGGCATCGTTTATGTAATTTTTTGGCTGCTGTCACCATCTGCAGTGATCATGGAGCCCAAGAAAGAAAAATCTGTCACTACTTCCATATCTTCCCCTTCTATTTGCCAGGAGGTGATGGGGCCAGTGGACATGATCTTAGTTTTTTTGATGTTGAGCTTCAGACCATTTTTTGCACTCTTCTCTTTCACCCTCATTAAGAGGTTCTTTAATTCCTCCTCACTTTCTGCCATAAGACTGGTATCATCTGCATATCTGAGGTTGTTAATATTCCTTCGGCCATTTTAATTCCGGTTTAGGATTCCTCCAGTCCAGCCTTTCACATGATGTATTCTGCATATAAGTTAAATAAGCAGGGAGACAATATACAGCCCTGTCGTACTCCTTTCCCAATTTTGAACCAATCAGTTGTTCCATATTCAGTTCTAACTGTTGCTTCCTGTCCCACATATAGGTTTCTCAGGAGATGGATAAGGTGGTCAGGCACTCCCATTTCTTTAAGGACTTGCCATAGTTTGCTGTGGTCCACACAGTCAAAGGCTTTTGAATAATCAATGAAGCAGAAGTAGATGTTTTTCTGGAACTCTCTGGCTTTCTCCATGATCCAGTTCATGTTAGCAATTTGGTCTCGAGTTCCTCTGGCCCTTCGAAATCCAGTTTGTACTTCTGGAAGTTCTCAGTCCACATACTGCTGAAGCTTACCTTGCAGGATTTTGAGTATAACCTTGCTAGCGTGTGAAATGAGTGCAATTGTACGGTAGTTGGAGTATTCTTTGGCACTGCCCTTCTTTGGGATTGGGATGTATGTAGACTGATCTTTTCCAATCCTCTGGCCACTGCTGAGCTTTCCAAACTTGCTGGCATATAGAGTGTAGCACATGAACAGCATTATCTTTTAAGATTTTAGATAGTTCAACTGGAATACCGTCACCTCCCCTGGCCTTGTTGTTAGCCATACTTTCTAAGGCCCACTTGAATTCGCTCTCCAGGATATCTAGCTCAAGGTCAGTAACCACACTATCTGGGTTGTCCGGGACATCCAGATCTTTCTGGTATAATTCCTCTGTGTATTCTTGCCACCTCTTCTTGATGTCTTCTCCTTCTGTGAGGTTCCTACCATTTTTGTCCTTTATCATGTCCTTCTTTGCACAAAATGCTCCTTTAACATCTCCAATTTTCTTGAACACCTTTCTGGATTTCCCTTTCTATTATTTTCCTCTATTTCTTTGCACTGTTTATTTAAGAAGGCCCTCTTGTCTCTCCTTGCTATTCTTTGAAAGTCAGCATTCAATTTTCTGTAATTTTCCCTATCTCCCTGCTTTTTGTTTCCCTTCTGTTCTCTGCTACTTGTAAGGCCTTGTTGGACAGCCATTTTGCTTTCTTGCATTTCCTTTTCTTTGGGATGGTTTTTGTTGCTGCCTCCAGTACAATGTTACGGGCCTCCATCCACAGTTCTTCAGGCACTCTGTCCACCAAGTCTAGTTCTTTAAATCTGTTCTTCACTTCCACTATGTATTCATAAGGGATTTGGTTTAGATTATACCTGACTAGCCACGTGGTTTTTCCTACCCTCTTCAGTTTAAGCTTGAATTTTGCTGTGAGAAACTGATTATCAGAGCCACAATCAGCTCCAGGTCTTGTTTTTGCTAACTGTATAGAGCTTCTCCATCTTTGGCTGCAGAGAACATAATCAATCTGATTTCGATATTGCCCATCTGGTGATGTCCATGTGTAAAGTTGCCTCTTGTGTTGTTGAAAAACAGTGTTTGTGATCACCAGCTTATTATCTTGACAATACTCTATTTTCCTTTGACCTGCTTCGTTTTGAACTCCAAGGCCAAACTTACTTGTTGTTCCTTTTATCTTTTGACTCCCTACTTTAGCGCTCCAATCCCCTATTAATGACAAGAACCTTTTTCTTTGGTGTCAGTTCTAGAAGGTGTTGTAAGTCTTCATAGAATTGGTCAATTTCAGCCTCTTCAATAGTGGTGTTTTGTGCATAAACTTGGATTACTGTGATATTGAAAGGTCTGCCTTGGATTCGTATTGAAATCATTCTATAATTACAGATATATAGGTATAGCATAAAATGGATCCAGAGGTAGACCTGTAAGGCAACAGATCCCCATCCTCAGGCTTTCTGGCCTGGTGCATTACTAATGTGTTATGTTACGGACTGGAGGATATCCAACCTATGATTAAATGCTTTCTGCAAAAACAAATGCTGGTCAAGGAACATCCAAAGGCACAAGAGACTACAAACAGATACTAACAAAAAAAAGTAATTTCAAATGCTAACCAACATGTACTTGGATGGAATGTCTGGGTGTATCTACTTTATACAGTTGTATCACTTCAGCTGGCATGGCTCCCAGCTATGCAATCCTGGAATTAGTCATTCAGTACCATACTTAGAATTTCCTGCCGTTGTTTGGAAGAATACACTAGATCACTGTAGCAGAGAATACTCGGTGCTAGAAGCATTCACATCTGGAAGATCTTTTGAATGGTGATTCCCAGAATTTCCTGTGCAGATGTACATAAATCCTAGGTACGTCACAAAACTACAGATCCCAACATTACATAGCAATGCATAGGATGAAGCTATAGCAGTTCAATTCAAAGGCAAGGGCAGGTGATACATTTGTTACACTACTAAAAAATTGAAACAGTTTATAGTTTTTTCATGGTCCACAAACTCAAGGAAAAAGCATCTACCAAATGAGCATCTACTGAGAGCCATTAATAATAATCATGTGCTATCAAGTCAATTTAGAGTTATGGTTACTAACTTTTCAGGGTTTTCCAGGTACAGAGTACTCAGAAGTGGTTTACCCTTCCCTTCTTCCGGAGGTATCCTAGGGCTTCTAGATAGCTCAGGGAACTTCTGGATAGTTCAGTGGCTTAGGTCTCTGGCGGAGGAGCCAGAGTTTGTGAGTTCAATTCCTCCTTGACAAGGGCTGGACTTGATGATCTATAGGGTCCCTTCCAGCTCTGCAGTTCTAAGATATTATATATAACAACACCCAGAATGATGCCCCTGTCTTTTGCAGAACAAAATGATTAATCACATCAGAAAAACACTGTTCAAAGCAATCCAGCTTTAAAAAAGTGGAAGCCCCCAGCAGCAGAGGGGAAAACTCTGACTTGGAAGCAAAAGGGGCCAGGCTAATTTCCATAGGCCTTGCCACTGAATGATCATTGGGAAATACTTTGAATTCACCTATGCCAATTTCAGCCAAAGTATTTGTCAATGTAGTCGCAACCTTGATGGCATCTGACAGCAAGAAAAGGGTACTCAGGTTTCACCCTCAATGGAAGCAACAGTTCAACTATTTTAGGATGAAGAAGCCCATTGTATATTTCTTGAAAGCCATTGTATATTTTTTGTGGGGGGCAGGGTTTGAGGGAAAAGAAGACAGGAAAAGGAGCTGTTTATTCATGTCCAACAATTATATAATACTCAAGTCACAATGTTCTAGCATCCTACCTTTCTCATCAGCCTTCAGGGCAGTTAGTCAGTGCTTACTAAACATGATGTGAGGCGCGGGCTGCAAGCCCTTTATTTCTCCAGCCTGAGCTTGTGCTAAAAACTCCATCCACCGCTAGTTTATCTGTTCTGAAAACATGGCTCAGTAGCCAATAAAAAATTAAGTAACTTGTGCAGACTTACATAAGGTCACTGTAAGATGTATGCCTGAGACCAACAGGGCAAACAGGCAGAGTCTGTGGTACAGCACAAGATAGTCAGATAGGCCATAGAAAGTTTGTAATAGTATTTTGTCTTGGCAGAACAAGGAGAAATATGTACTGTGGTAATTTGTGACAGTTATTCCGACTACCTATACCTTGGTTTTCCCGTCTGTGCAAAAAATGGGTACATAACAACAACAGAATTGTTAAATGTTTCTTTTGCCACCTCATCATCTTCAAGAGTTGTTCTTTCCTAATTGCCTATTGTTAAAAACTTTGCATGGCCCATATGACCACCTTTTCTCTGTCTGTCTCTACCACAGACTCTGAAGGTTGACCTATATGGTCCAGTGACCACATCAGCTAGAAGCTGAACTGTTTTAAAAGGCATCTGTTTATTCTACCACAAGCTTTCTACATCTCTGCATATTACAAATTATTTTGCTTTTCTTATGATTCATCATGAAGAGATAAGCATTGGCTTCATTTGCAAGTAAGCTACTCAGGCATGGAGCTTTGTTCTCCTTAAACAGAAAATGTGCTGGCAGCTTTTAATAAGTGCATGATATAGTTTGGCTCTGATGGTTTATCAATACCACGAGTAGCCTTGATTTCTCTGAATCCCCCTAAATCACCCATTAACTTCTTACATTTTAGACAGATTTGGGGCATACCTTTTCAGGAACATTACCATGGGTGACCAGCATTGCTATTGATCTGAAGTCAGCCCTCTGTCCCAGATGTCTAAGGAGTTCAATCTCTGAAGAAAGAGAAAGCAATACATCTTGATTTAATGTGCAGTTACACGTCCTGCTTTCTTTCTTTCAGATGCAACTATACACTGAATTACTCCCTGGTCCGTAGTAAGACTACCCATTAAGACAGTCATTCTAGATTTTATTATAATAGCTTTGATCAACATGCTAACATTTTCTACTTCAGAAGCTAGTGCAAGTTATGAAGGGACATGCCATGACATTTTGCTTCTGACGAAAGGTGCGTCAACTGGAGTGTATGCATATCCAAGTAAAAGTATGTAGCACCTAATTCATGGCCAGGTTATTTTTGCCCCTAAGGTAGAAAAATCCTACAACATCTCTTCACCTATCTGTCTGTAAAGTTAAAATTACAAGAAACAACTAGCAATTTGCTGTGCTTTCTTCATACCTGAGATTTTCTGTTTGTTGTATTTTTATCACTAAATAACATAACCAACTATGGGTATTATGAAATTTGATTGGGAAGAAGGACATCATTTGTCTTTATATTTCTGGAAAATAAAATCCTACAACATCTCTTCACCTATCTGTCTGTAAAGTTAAAATTACAAGAAACAACTAGCAATTTGCTGTGCTTTCTTCATACCTGAGATTTTCTGTTTGTTGTATTTTTATCACTAAATAAAATTTGATTGGGAAGAAGGACATCATTTGTCTTTATATCTCTGGAAAATATATGTGGCTGGCCCTGGTTAAAAATGTTCTTTTCCAGTCTCCCCTCCCTTGGGTATTCCATGTTCCTCTGAGCTCAAGTATTGTGACCAGAGAATAAAGTACACCGATCAGAGTATATATAACCATTTTTCATATCTCTTTAAGGTAGCAGGAGCTCCAGTCTTCTCCTTGGATGAAACAAGCCTCAGGAACAGCTGACAACCTTTGGCAAAATCTTAGCTAAACAGAAGAAAGAGAGAAAAGTTCAGTCTTATAGACTTTAACAGCCAAAGGATGTCAAAAGTCATTCCAAACCATGTGGTACGGGTTGGACAGACAGTATGTGTTTCATCCCAGGGAGAAAATGCTTGTTTACCTCACTTGAACAATGGGCACTTGCCCTGTTACACTTTGCCAACACAGTATTTATATTACTCAATGGAAAGCTGGGAAAGAGAGAGTTCATTGGCCCAAACCAAAGAATGCTCACTGCCTAAGATGGACCTCTATGAACCTTGCAGATCCATCACTGATCCTAGGACATCTCCAAATCTGGAGGATAAATGCCTGCCACAGGAACCAATGGAAGAAAGAAAAGACACTTGTCCAGTATCTCCTACTTTGGATGTATCCATTGAAAAGTTGAACCGCCTGATGTTAGAGATTGACCCCACCTTCCAACCTCTCCAAGTGAAGCCAAGCCAGGCCCAAAATCTTGCTGTCCAAACTGTTCCACAAAGTGACACAGTGGCGGCCCAAAAACATGAACTAGATACATCAGGTAAGGTGTAAAACGCATCAAGTCATCTATTTGAATGCCGTACACAGAACTATCCATTTTTTTGTTTGTTTATTGACTCACGCAAGCAGGGAAAATGGAACCACAACAAATACTCATTGTCTGAGCACACAGCCCGATCACATTGGGGGTGAATTAGGCAGACTACCTAGACAGGAGGGCCTGGCGTGCTCTGGTCCATGGGGTCACAAAGAGTCGGATACGACTAAATGACTAAACAACACCTAGCTTAAAGTGACATGCCAGTGCAGACAGCAGTATCTCAGGACAGGTACATACCTAGAGGTCATAAGATAGGGACAAATAGATTTGATGCACATAAAAGTCCAAACCAGTTGGCATGCTAACTATATGCTCTGAAGAGAGATACTATCTTTAAAATGCACAATTGGAAGCAATAATTATATGCCATTCAAATAAAATAGGACTTATTTCCATGGAACGGAAGCCAATTCTTAACTGGGCACAGCAGCCAAATGCAACTCCCTCACATACAAAGAAGTATATATCTTGATACCTAAATGCTAGAGTAAAGAGGAAGAGTCCATCACCGTGTCATTGCCCTGTAACTCGCATTGGCCTTAACCAACAAGATGGTGAGGGATGATGAGGTTGTTACCCAACTGTGTCTGGAGGCCTTCAGGATTTTGAGGATTACAAACTGCTCAATCCTTGGTGTTGTGGTTAGAATGCAGAACAGCTCCAACACACATGTACAGTGATGCTGATAATGAGAATGATATTTACATTAATCTCTCACTTTTTTGCAAGATGTCAAGACCACATGTTACATGGCTTTGCCTCTCTTTCCCACTTTATCTGCTTCCCACTTTATTCTCACAACAGTTTTATGAGGTAGGTCAATCTGAAAGAGAGTGACTGGCCCAAAGTCATCAGCTGAATTTCATATCTAAGTGTGGAACTCAATCTGGATCTCCCAAGTCCCAGCCCAATACTCTTAATAGCTACACCACTTGAACCTTGTGGAGAATAATTCCAACAAGCAAGTCTCTACCTGTAGTCTGAAGTGGTAGAATCCAGACACACATTTATGACCTCATCTATTATAACTGAGTCAACTAGGCCTGTGATGCATCTACTGTCGTCTTCCACTTAGAGGGGGGCTTCTTTGTTGGGTCTTTTTTAAATCTCGGCTTTATGCCATTGTTTTGTCTGACACACCTGATTGAACTTGTCTGAATGGTAATGGATTAGATGTGCCAGTTTAATTCATCATCGGGTTTTGCTTTCTGGTTTTTTGCTTTTTCCTTGTGTGTGCTTTCCCTCGTGGATATGGCCTTGTCTTAGCTGGGCCTAGAGGCTTGCACAGACAGGTCTGCTGACTCATTCTTAAAACCCAATGATGTGTCAGAGGATGTTCCATGTAGTGATTGACTGCCAAAGGCAACAAAGGACTAATTGCCAGCCTTTCCAGAGCACCCACATAGATGTGTCTTTGAACTCCAACAACCAGGCATGTCAGGAATCTCAGAATAAATGACAAATCTCTGGAGCCAACCCTCATGAGATATTTGCTGCCTGAGGCAAAGGATAAGACAATGTCTACATAGGTTGACTGGACTAGGAGCTGAACTTTACCTCAACAGTGTCAATGGGGCCTCCCCCACATCTGAGGGCAGCAGAGTCCTTTGAAGGAAGAGCTTGGAAAAATTATATTGAGATGTTTGTGTTTTTTTAAAAAAACTACAATTTCCTCCAACCAATATGGCTGCTGGTTGGAGAATTTGGGGAGCTGTACAAGAAGTACTCTAAATTTTCCAGGTTCTGGCCGAGAGGGCACAGACCGCTCTATGGCATAGAGACAGCTGTGTCCTATAAGAGAGATATATATGGCCAGAGGGCTCAGGAGGAACAATTGGGGGAGGTACTATTGCTGCCCCTCTCAGGATCTGCCACCTGGAATAATATTGTCACTCTGCTTAAGGGCAGATAGCTCCCTATAGCTTCCCATTCCATACATGCTTTTGTGTTAATATTTTTAAAATGCCAATTCTAATATTCAACTACTATGATATTTTAATATCTGAGGCAAACCTGGATAATTTGTCCCCTCCCTCACGCCATAAAAGTCTATAGTACCTTCAGCCAGCTAAGTTATGCTGGCACATGAGTTAAAAATTCCACAGGTGCCTCTCCTACTCCCTGGCAGTAAAAACACAAGAATAACAAATTTTAAACATAACATTTTTGCCTCTTCACAACACCCAAAAGCTGTTGCTTCACTCAGTATTATGGGACACCCACCCATACACACAAACACCATTTGGCCTTTTTCAGAAGGAAATAGCTTTAATGGAAGAGCTGGTCTGAATGAGAATCCTTTGTTGAAAATGTTTGCGAAGAAGACACTGGAGCTGTTTGAATCAGTGATCTTTGCAGCACTTTTTTCTTTTTTGAACTACCCAGGCAGCACTGGGCATGCGCTGGCTGCGTTATTCTAGGATCTATTGTCTTAAAAAGTCACTTTTCTAAGTTCTGAATTTTTATGTCTTTCTTTCTAGACTGAAGAAATATATCGCATAACTGGGGAGAAAATGCAGGACATATTTTTTTGAATTGCCAGCAATGATGCTAGCACTTAGAGAAATCCTGTAGATTCTTCCTTAATACCATTGCAGAGACATACAGCAGTGGCTCCCAACCTTGGATAGCCCAGGTGTTCTTGAACTGCAGCTCCCAGAAACCTTCACCACTATGTGTGCTGGCTAAGGTTTCAGGGAGTTGCAGTACAAGAACACCCGGGTTGCCCAAGTTGGGAACCACTGTGGAAGATTCCTTTTAAATAAATCTATATGCTTCTATATGTAGAATATGTAATACATGTAGGAAAAGGTCAGTGTGGAATCATTTCCTTGGTGGAATCAAAATGCCTCAGCGGCGTGGCCTTACGCAAGCTCCTTTTACTTGCCTCTGATGTATTCCTTGGGCGTAGCAAGATGTTATTCATCTGAAGTCAGGTAGAGGCAGGAAGGGAAAAATACTGAAGCATGCATTCCCACCCTCTCATACAGGTGCCAACAAGTAATGGACTCAGTGACGTGATGATCACTGGGATATATCTGCATAACTTAATGCTTTGACAAGGCACTGTCTTCCTGATTCAGGAAGGAGGTCTTTTGAAGAGGTTAGGAAAAATAACCTTTTTAGATTACAACTCCCAGAATCTCCCAGCTGGCAGAACCTTGATGGCTAAAACAGGGCCTAGAGCAAAAGAGGGCAGTTTTGGTCCATTTGGGTGTCCATTTTGTTCCTTCAACACCTTCAGGGAGCAGCATCGTCTCACTGCCCAAATTAGGCAGCCAATGGCAGTACTGAAGTTTGGGAGTAAGCATGGGTTGAAACAAATTTTCACAATGCTTTCAGTTGTCCTTGTTTGCCATCAGCTGCTACTACCAATCCCTTCAAGGCATATTGAGGTATAGATCACAGCCAAAAGGTTTGCTTTAGGCAGGTTTCTACCCTGGTGGCCACTGTAACTCAGCAGGGTAATTTGTCACAAAAATCTGCAATACAGTTTTAAGCGCCCCTGGGATCACTCTTGTCCTAAAGCTAAGCCTTATTTGGCATCATTTGAGCTTCTTGTGCATTTATTTATTAATATAATTACAATATCCTCATCCCAAGCCAGAAAGGCTGCAAAGATTTCAAAATAAGATTTTAAAATTACAGTCCCTGCCTACAAACTTTAGAAAAGGAAGCAGGAAGGAGGACAGGAAAGAAAGATTAAAGCAGGAGGTAGCCTTTCAGCAAGCCTTCTGGAATGCCCTTGCGTCCCATCTCATCCCTCTTTGTTCTAACTTGCTGGAAGGGTTGCCAGAGGTTGCTGTTAATGGAGTAACATTTAAGGAGGGAGTATTCTATTGCTTCTGACCTTTGTTTTGTGTTTATTATTTTATCAGAGATAAAGTACATTGAAATGTCACCAGCTAGAACAAAGCAGGAGGAGAGTTTTCAGAGATCCACAAGTCCTTCGAACACTCCACTTTCTGTGTCTCCCCGTAATCACCATTTGCCTCCTCATGGAGGAATCCGTGGAGATCATGGCCACATGACTCTCATGGGTGGCCATGATGTTGGAGGCAGCCCTCGGCATCTCCCAGCCATAAAGAGGCAATCACCAACTTGTATCCATATGTCAGAGAGCATCTCCATTCCACAAAGACATCAGAAGAACTCTGCCCACTATGGGTCACCTTCTAACCTGGCTTCTTCACCGGGCTCTGAGAATTTACTGAAGCTGTCGCAGAATGGGAGTAGGATGGAATGGCGTAGTGAAACATCTGTGCTTTCAACCAGTCCTGGATCAGACACCAGTTATATTCTTGGAAGGTAATGTTGACAAATATTTAGTACTAGATGAATTTCTTGATGCAGTATAAACATTTAGTAACATTGGTTGTATCAGGTATGCCTTAATTCTTTTGTATTGTCTTTCACCTTTGCAGCAGCACTCAGTCACTATCCAACAACGATCCCGAGACTCCTCAAACCAGGTCAACAGGAAGTCCTCCTTCCGTTGGATCCTTCAGTGGCTCTTTCTCTGGCTCCTGTAACTCAAGTTCCTCCTCCTCTCCAAGAGGGAATAATTCCCTACCTCAGCAATGCCAGAAGGGACAGAACGACAATTTCTCTCCTTCATCTGTTGCAAACTTACCTCCTATCCCTATTGTGCTTATCAATGGCTACCCGGAAGAGAGTGAGCTTTCTGCCATACCCTTCAGGGTTCACCCAGGTTCTTTCAAACACAAGATGCACCAACCCAGTTCTGGTACATTTTCAGGCGTCAATCGTTCCAACAAGACTTCTTCTGAGAGCTCCCTTTCATCTTCTTCATCTCTGGATAGTAAGTCATTCCACTCCCTTAATAAGAAAGTGCGTCACTGATTGTATCTCTCCTACACAGTTATCACAGTTTGATGGTACTTAAAAATAACTGTCAATGTTCCATCCTATGAAATCCTGAAGTTTGTAGGTTGGAGAGGTACCTAGAATTCTCTTCTAGATAACCTTTGGACCCTCCTCTGAACAATAGTAGAGAATTCTAAATATCTCACCAGACTCTAGATCCCAGGATTCCATGACAGCTGAAATATACATATATTTTTTGATTTGCTAGAACTTGATTTACATTTTATTAGAAATATAATGCACATTGGCAAATAGATTCGTAAGTACGGTGGAGCATGGGGAATAAATGTTAAACTACTTCTGAATAAAAGTTCCCTGGCCTGCATCGGGGGATGGGGGGCATGTGTGGAGAACAATCTGGGATACAAATCCTTATTTGACCAATGACCAGGTGACAAGGAAAATTTATTTATTTATTTATTTATAGTATCCAGTATAAGTATTTATAAACAATCTAAATCCAAACATTTCAAACAATAATCAAAGAAATAATAGAAACAATGGACAAAGCGAGAAGATAATGTACACAAATACAGCCATTAATATACAAAATTTACATAGTCCATAATATAGCTTTGTTACACTGGGATATTGAAGGGCCATAAATAGGTTTGTTTCTAGCTTGTTTCAACCACTGAAAATTACATGTGCATGCTGAATTTGAGATGCAAATATATTCCACATAGTAAGTACAAAAACTCTAAATCTGTAAGCTAGCCAGAGGTGCCACAATTACAGATGGCTTGATAAGGTTTACCTCTGAGAAATAAGAAGTAAAGACTTCTAAATATAATGAAAAGTACGGTAACTGCTTCTGTAGGCTTGTGATTAGAACTCTAACAAATTACTTTTGAAAGTACTGTAACTTCATTTTTTTAAAAAAAGCTCATTGAAGCTCATATGAGCGAATGACTACCATCTGGTGGAAAGCCAGTATAGTACAGTGGATAGATTGGTGGACTAGAACTCTGGAGAGCAGGGCTGAAATCCCAACTCACCTATCAAAACTCATGGGAAGGGGCACTAGTAAACCCACTACTTAAATATACCACTTATCTCAGAAAACCTACCACAGTTGCCATAAGTTAGAACAGATTTGAGAGCTGCGTATGGGACACAGTGAGGGAGGCCAAGGATTTTGTATAAAAATACAGATTGTACTCTCTCCACAGAGCTGTGTAGTGAGGACAACCAAATAGGGACACCGTATAGTAGCTGAGCAACTGATTTCGCATTAAAAATCTGTAAAGCAGCGGGAATAAAGCCATGGCCCCAAGTGTGGTGGAATTTACTTTTGAACAGACAAGTGTTAGGATTATGTTATTCCAAGTCACTGGCTGATATCCTGTTGGTATAAGTATGCCAGTGGAAGGCTAGTGACATCATCATTGGGAGGCAATTTTTCAAAAATTAAACATTTCTTACTTCTGTCCTCCCAACAGCTCCAACATAATCCTTTTCATCATCAGGAAGCTGTGGGAGCTGTGGGACAAGTGGAAGAAGTCTTCAATTACTGAAAATTGCCACCAGAAATAATGTTATCCCAATTCAAAACTCCTTCCTCCTTTCCTACAGCTCCCAAGACTTCCACACAATGAAAAGGATTAAATGAGAGCTGTAGGAGCCTCAAGACAAAAGAGACTCATGGTCAATTTCTGAAAAAAAAAAAACCAATTACCCCTGCTAAGAATGTCAGCAACTTTCCACAGGCAAACTTACTATGGATGTGCCATTTATATCAAATCCCAGAATTCTCCAAGAGTTCCCCTGGCAGAATTTTTAGCATTCCAGCCGACAGACCCACACCTACTAACATGTGAGGGCCTACCACAGAGGCTGCGTGGTTGTCTCAGGCCTTGCTTCCTGTTAAAAAAAAGGAAGCTGCCAGTGTTTCTTGGGAGTGGTAGTCTCACTGCCTTTTAGGATTTACAGAGGGCTTCATCTGAAGAACCACCGGAAAGGGCCATGGCACCTTTTTTGAACAGGAAGCAAGGTCTGAGACAACAATACAGCCTCCAAGATGGCCACGCTCCAGGTGTCTGTAGATGTGGGTCTCTGGGCTGGAACTCCAAGAATCCTGCCTAGGGATTTCTTATAGAATTTTGGGAACTGGAGTTAAAAAACAAACAAACTTCCAAAACAAATGGCAGATCTCTAGTACTTATACCTACAGGATTTTAGCCATCATCTTACACTTGGGATTCTTACGTTATGAAAACACATATTTCCCCCTCCTCATATTCACTCCTTCCTTCACATTTATCATGATATTTTTTTCAGGTCCCCCCTTTTCCTGCTTAAAAGTCCTGTCTCCAAAAGACAAAAAGAACCAGCCCTTTGATTGTACTTGTCTCGCTGTTGGCTAAGTAATATCCTCAGTTTTGTGATCTTCTATTTTTTCTTGCAGGCTATTCCAAAGACAACCAGAACACAATGAAGTTTGTGATGGACACCTCTAAATACTGGTTCAAACCTAGCATCACAAGAGACCAAGGTACCATAAGGCACAAAGGCCAATGTGGGAGGCAAGGGAAGAGCACAACATTTAACATCAAAAGCTAACATAATTTATGATATATTCAGTCCTAAGGACAAAGCATGTTTTATTCTGCTCTGACTGAACTGATGCGATTCTCAGAGTGAATGTGTTCTCCACAGTTATATCTAGGAGGGTCACATAAAATGGGGGAAAGTGTTTTTGTACCCTTGACTGAGGCAATTTAGGGAAATGCCAGTTGTCTTGCAAGATAAGCCTGCTGAAGTTCTCTTTTCCACAAAACTACCGAAAATAGAGGAGCACTGTCCTTATTTGTATATGGCCTCCTTAGTTACCTATGAGAGAAGAAATGTAAAGCTTTTGCTTTTGCCTCAGCAAATGCTGGCTTGTTGCTTGGTTTGTTAACAAGCCGAGGATATCAGACCAGTACAAAACTGTGTTGTTCAAGCTTAGAGCCAGCACTCAGAATGATGAGCCAGATGCCATAGCTGACAGATGTGGGGGAGGGCACTGCTCTACCCGTGATCTCAAGTTCACTTTTGAAGATGTTTCACTAGGAAGGGGAGGTGATGGCACTCAGCCTACCTCTGTGGGAAAAAGTGCTAGTTGAAGCTGCAGCTGATGATCTGGGCTGGCTTTTCCATGAGGCAAAGTGTCACAACTGCCTTTAGGAACAGAATGGAAAGGCAGCAGATTGCGCTTCAGAGGGCCTGACCACCCACTTGACCACTTAGGGCCTGCTCTCCCAGTTGCCTCAAGGGAGCATCTGGAACATCTGGCCACCCACTGGATTCCTCCCTCAGAACAAGAGCTCGAGCAGCTCTTTAGAGAGCTTCACCCATTGAACAAAGTAGCACCACATTTCTCCAGCTGGCTGCCCACACACTTTACTTGGAAGAAGGCTTCTTTCCCAGAACGAGGCATGACAGGATTGCTGTCCAAGTGGTCTCCACCACTATTTCTCCCATGAAGGGACGAGGAAGGGCCCTTCAGAGCAAGGCATCTGGACTTGAGCAGCCCTCTAGGGAGGAGGCTCACTCCGTTTGCACAACAGTTGTGAGCTGGCAGGGGGAAAGGGGCAGGGTTGTTCATCTTCTCACCTTCAGCAGCAGGATCTCTGGCGCAGTCACTGTCTCCTAGCATCTTCATTTTTAAAAGGAGGTGGGAAGGGGGGAAGCATCTGGGCACTAACATATCAAATTTAGAATTATTGGGGGGGGGAATGGAGAAGACAATTGGGAGAATATTCAACCTTTGCTCTTCCCACTGTATTTGCTTTGGATTTCTTCCCTCACTTTTCTCCATTTGACTGGAAGGGGGTATGTAGAGGGTTGCGGTGTGGTTTCCTGCCCCAAATCCAACTGATCCTTGAATATGGATGCAAGGATTCCCCCAAATGACATATCATACCTCAGAGTCACCTTGTTTAGCCAGATCCAGCCTAGGACAATTTGGATGTCTAGTCTCGTCCTAAGCTGCAGAGAAGCTGAGGCAGGCTTGGACTTTGTATGTAAATGCATGTGACCAAAGCTGACTTTTGCTTCTTTTAAAATAATGGCTCCCAAACTCTGGGTCCCAAACATTTTTGGATGGCAACTCACAGAAGCCCTGACTGAAGACTGCACTGCCTAGGGTTTCTAGGAGTCATATAGTCTGCGGACTTTTGGGGCTATAAGTTTGGGAACTACTGTGCTAAGGGACAGAAGCTTCTGGAAGAGTAGCAGAACTTAACCTCTCTTCTCACCCACTGTTTTTTTCCTCTGCTCTTCACTTCAGGGTTCCAACTTTCAGGTACACAAAGTTCAAGAAATGCTTGGAACCCCATGAGGAAGTTGCAAGGAAGAAGTGGTTAAACAGGGAAAAAGTGAAGCCCTTGTACTATCCTACAAATCTCTCCTACGTATCACCTCCTCCCTTCACACTCGCGCTTCTCAAGAAAGAGCAGTTGTTAGACTTAGGACACATGCATGAAGAACCTGTAAAAAAAACAACAACACCTCACCCCAACCTTTCTGGGGAAGGGGCCTCCCTAATCATGAGTCTCCTTAACTTAATTCTCTCTAGCTGGCTCAGTGGTTTAGGTATCTGGCTGCAGAACCAGAGGTTACGACTTGATTCCCTACTGTGCCTCTTGTAAGTAGAGCCATCCTGTCTGGCGTTGGACAAGCTGCACAGCCGCAGAATGTCCTCAGGAGAAGAAAATGATAAACCACTATGAATACTCTCCACCTAGAAAAATCCAGGAAAAGGTCGCCATAAATTGGAATTGACTTGACAGCATGCAATTATTAGTTGGTGGAAAAACTGATTTGCAGTTAGTAAAACAGTAGAATCTGCTTGCTGATCCAACAGAATGCAGTGCATTATCTTCTATACATATTTCTCAGATTCTCACCAATTTATGCACTGCAAGTTCTCAAAACAGATTACAGAACTAGCCTTTGCCTTACTTATTTGTGAAGCGATTTTTCCCTTGAGAAAGTCTAGCATCCAAAACCCACTGGGAATTTAAAAGACTTTTAGATGCGCATGGAGAATTAGTTGGTACCGTCACAGGGGTCTTCTCTAATTTTTCACAGCTGCTGCAATCCCTTTTCTGGCTCTGGATTTTGTAACACACATTTTATGACTAGAGTGTTATTCTGCTGTTTCTTGAAAATAAATCTTGGACTCCCTTTTCTGGGTGTGCTGGACCACAAGTGTGCAAAGAACAACACAAGAGCTTGCAAATGAAAGAAGTCTGCCCCTCCGTATCCTAGAATCTGCTTTGAAAAAGAGAGCTAGTACTAGCAAAGCCTTCATCCTAAGCCTTCATCAATCTACACTATTGGCTATCTGGGCTGGGGCTTTTGGGAACCAGAGTCCAAATGCTTAGCAGGGCAAAATTACCCTCCCTCCCATAAGTGCATATAATATTGCCTTTGCAGCCTGTGTATGTGACGGGGGTAGTGGTACTTTTCTCCCTCAGATCTGCAGTTCAAATAAATTATTTTTCCCAGAATTTGGGGGACTTAATCTAGGACAGCATACCATTAAGGTCCCCGGCATTGGGCTAAGAAACTGAATAACAAATCAGGAAGTTCATGATTGACATGTCACTAACATGTACTTCTTTCATGGCCTTTGGCAAGTCGCTCACTCTCAGCCTCGGTTCCCCCACCTGCAATATGGAAGGTAATAATGCTGACATCTGGGGTTTGGAGAGTCGCATTGCCTTCCCTCCTGGAACACACTGGGAGCTGTGTCCCTGTCTACTTATCTTGTCTGCTGCCAGACAAGATATTTGGCAGGAGCCATTTAGTCTGTCACCATATTTCCCACTGAAATTCAGTGTTGGCAGCACAAGAGCTATGTGTCATGCCAGAGCATCCTCCTGTAGCACAAAGCCCTGTCAGGCTGCAGGGTAAAGTTGTATTTTCTGAAAGGAAGAAAGGGTGGAAGAAGGAGAAAGCTAGCACAGTTCAGTTTAGCAATAGACACTATAATTGTGAACCAGTTGTGTGGAAGAAAGGAACAGAAAGGGCTGCAAACACAGGTGAGGAGCCTGTATGTTGACGACCATTGCCCTACAGGATTATTGTAAAAATTACAACTAGACAATGTACAACAAGCACTTTGAACACTTTAAAGTAGTTGTTGTAGGTTTTCCCAGCTCCTAGGAAGAACAACCTTCAGAACACGGCCAGAGAGCCCCAAAAAACCCACAACAACCATTAGATCCCGGCCGTGAAAGCCTTCGCAAATACTTTAAAGTAGCCCAAGAAATACTACACTTCCAGTCTTTATATCTTTTTTGCATGCTGTGCTGAAGTATAATTTAAACATAGTAAGCTCAGAGCCTGGAAGAGTTAGAAGTTTGAATGGTTTCCAGACACCCCAGCCAGTATGGAGCTGTTGTCAAAACTTTTCGAAACTTTGGGAAAGTGGGATTTTAAAAAAATGAGAAAAGAAATATTGTCATTATTAATTTTTGCCATCCTCTCATAAAATGCCACTCTTCTTTTAATCTTGTGACTCACGCACGGCCTATTGTGTTTTGAAACAGCCATACAGCTGCTAAGCAATGAACCTCCAGGATCTTTCATCATGCGGGACAGCACATCATACCGTGGTTCCTTTGGCCTGGCCATGAAGGTCTTCAGCAACAAAACAGGTGCAGAGAATTCCCATGGTGGACTCATACATAGTCAGCCATGCTGAAGATGTTCTTACACAAAGATTTCTCACAATCCGGGTCCTCATTGTGAGAAGCAGGGGTCACTTACTGTATTTTACAAAGACAATTTCCTTTCTGAAGCTTTCCAGTCTCAGCAGTGATCTCTATCTCTCTTTCTCTCTCCAATCCATACACACAAAAGCACATACACACACATACCAAAATGGAAGAGACACATACCGTTTTGTGAAAGAAAAAAGTATATTTTTTAAAAAGAGTGCTCGAACAAATTCACTCCTCATGTGCTTCTTCCCAAGGCACTGTTCAAAGTATTTCACTCAGTGTGAGAAAGAAAATTGAAGGTTGAATGTTTCTGCTGAATCTCACCCATAAAGCCTAGCTGAAGGACTCAGCCTCAGGCCATCACATGGATGTGCTGGCTGCTGGATTCTGGGAACTATAAGCTAAAAAAAAGTTATTGCCAATCTCTCTTTTGAGCTCACAGAAGCCTTTTAATCCTGGCAAACACTGCACACTGGCAGTTCTCTCATGGGGCTAATAAGGAAATTCCTGGAAAACACACACACACACACTAAAAGATATGTAATTTTAAAAGTGCCGGGTCTTCTTACACAAGCGTGTAAGCAATCACTCTTGTATTTTTTTTAAAAAGTGTTGAAATGTTCTAGTCTTTTCAATAGGCTCTCAAGGCAATTTATATATATATAGAACTACAATAAAACTGCACACAGACATTTGCATTGTCAAGCTGAGCCAGCCAAGCACATGTTAAACCAGGGTCAGCCCTCAGTGCAATAACTAAGGTGAGGCATCTGGGGCTTTAGCACTGAGATTGACAGCATGCAAAAAATGGCTGCTACAACCTTGCATGTTGGTTCCTCCCATTGGTATCTGCTGTGAACCCCCCCCTTCCAGGAATGCATACCATCTCCAGCCACTGCTCCCCAGGCAGAAATAAATGCAAAATGCAGGATCCATATGGCCATCACGCATGAAGACCAAAGTGTTCCTTCTAATTACTCGTTCCTCTCCCCTGAATCCTAATCTTACATGACCCAAACTAACCAATAGGCCAGCAGAGCTCTGCTATGCCGGGATGAATACTTACAATTCTGCCACCCCTCCATTAGTCAGATGTTGCTGTTAGTCAGAAGGAATGGCTAAGAATACTATGCAACCTGTTTCATATCCTCTAAATTAGACTACTGTCTCCCAGGTGCACTCATTAATGCCTTCCTGTCATAGGTATTGACATTAGAGTCTACCGCCAGTTCAGCTACTGGATCCTGTCCAAGGAACAGAAGTAGAACACCATTTTGTCTCTGCATCAGGCAGCAAAATGTCTTGGGCTGCTGGCCCTGCATCATATAAATAACCACATTTTTGTTTGGTTTTCATTTTAGCATGATTTGCTGACACTTGCAGGCCAAAAGTCAAATCCAGCTGTGACAGCATCTGTATGCACATGTGCACCCTTCCCCACCTGCCTCTTTTCATGGGCAGATGAATAGTAATTAGCACAAGGTGGAGCTTTTTCTATAACAACCACAAATGGCACGTATACAGCAACACTATTACCACGAGAGATAGATTTCACTTTCCACAAGAATGCTGGAATGTGCAGCAAAATGTTTAGATTTGAAATTCATTTCCCAGTGTGAAATTCAAAATGGTATAATTTTTCTTGAAGCAGATCAGGAACTTGGTCAGAAAACACACACCTTTTTCTTGAGACACTTATACTGCTTTTCTTCAAACAAAATTCTTTCCCATATATGCTATTTCATGCATATTCAAAAGTTACAAATTTCCTGAATTGAAATACAGGACAGTGGTGCCTCGCTAGACAGTCACCCCACATGACAATTTTTTCACTAGACATTGGCTTTTTGCGATCACTATAGCGATTCGCAAAACAGTGATTCCTATGGGGGAATTTCACTGGACAATGTTTGGTCCCTGCTTCGCAAACCAATTTTCGCTAGACGACGATTCTGACAGCAACCTCCGCGCTCGCAAACAGGTGTTTTCGGGACCTAAGCTTCACAAGACAGCGATTTAAACAGCTGATCGGCGATTCGCAAAATGGCTTTCCTATGGCCGATCTTCGCTAGACAACGACAATTCTTCCCCATTGGAATGCATTAAACAGGTTTCAATGCATTCCAATGGGGAAATGCTTTTCGCTAGACAATTATTTCGCTAAACAGCGATTTCAGTGGAACGGATTATCATCATCTAGCGAGGCACCACTGTATTGGGAAGTTACAAGTGGTGACAGGGATTCTCAGAAAAAAAATTAGCCTGATCCAATAGTTTTGTATTTTAAAATCAATACCTAGTGTGATGTAGTGGGCCGCAGGTTGGACAAGCCTGACCTAGTGTGATGTAGTAGGTAGAGTGAATTAGGACTCAAGAGATTTGCTTTCGAATCCCCATTCATCCACGGACACTCACTGGTGGGGGCTGGAACTGGTAAAACTATTCCTTAAGTATCTTGTTTTTCCAGAAAGCCATAACAGCAACCATGATGATGATGATGATGATGATGATGATGATGACGATGATGACGATGATGATAATAATAATAATAACAACAACAATAATAATAATAATAGTGAGCTGTCAAGTCAATTCTGATGCTGTCAGTTCTTACTTAACAGCATATCACAAACTCATATTTGTAGCGCAGACATGCCAAGTAGCATCAAGAAGCATTTCTTTTAAAGTTCAGAAATTTAGGAATATAACACATTTTAACTTTTTATTTTGACAACATTTTAGCCCTCTTCCTCTTCAAATGATATTTAGTAGTAATCAAAGCTACATTCAGAAACTGGCTCTTAACATGTGTATGTGCATATGTATGGGCATGTACAGGCACACCAGATCTTAGAAATGTTAAGTTTTTAATTGCAGTTCTACCAATGGCCATACCAGCTGTGAGATTCAGGAAACAGTAATCCAAAAATGTAACTTATTCGAACCCTGACTTACCGTATTTTTCCATGTATAAGACTACTTTGTCTAAAATCTTTAGACTAAAAATTGAGGGTTGTCTTATACATAGAAGCTGAGGAGAGAACAAAAAACAAATGGAGGGAAAAGCAGGGATCAAAGCGATTCTGCAGTGCTTTTATCCCTTTCCCCCTACACTTGCTAAGCCCCACTTAGATTTCTTAATTTTGGATTAGAAAAGTGGGGGGTATCTTATACATGGGGGCGTTTACTTACACATGGGGGGAGATTAAATAAAGAGATTGTGATGAGAAATTTTAAGAATAAAAGGATGCAAAGAAATCCAATTTTAAAATCCACTTCAAATGTCAGTTTTGCTTTCTTATTGTCCCCCCCCCCGCTAAATTTGCATTTCAAATCCATTTCAACTCTTAATTGTTTTGGTTCATAGGAGAGAATGGTGGTGACCACATCAAGCATTTCCTCATTGAATCCTCTGCCAAGGGAGTGCATCTTAAGGGGGCTGGAGAAGAACCATATTTTGGTAAGATACTCGGCCTAGTTTGTTCAAAGCTAGGATTCTAAAGCTGCAAGGTTAATTATAAGCCCACATAGATGATAAGGTACACACACACACACATAGTTCTGATGTTGTCTTTAGATTTGTCCTTAGGAAGAGCACTGCCAGGTTTAGAGGTCCTTCTAGCCAGCCAGATCCTTCTTAGAGGAAGAGCCACAGCTGAGTCACTGGGATCATGTTTGGTGCACAGAAGATCCCTGGTTCAATTAGATAATCATCAGATTCTACCGTTTTCTTACATTTGCTGGCAGCACAACAGCCGCACTCCCAAGGGGGAGAGAATTGCCAAAAGGGACCACTTGACATATACGTATAGTATTACGACTATTACTACTGCCATACCACAATTTACACAGTTAAACTTACACTGATGGAAACCCACAACAGGATTTTTAGCCATTATTAATTGTAAAAATTGTTACAATGACTTTCTGTTAACTGAAAGCAGTGGATTTAACTTTTGCTAAAATGGTGGTGTTTAAACCAATAGCATCTAGGAAAAATTAAATGGTGGAAGAAGCTGGGAATTAGAGTAACGGAGAGACATGGGTGCCAGCAAGGGAAGTAGATATTTTCCTCCCTCAGGCAGCAGAACTCCTTGTACCTCTCAGAGTCCACAAATACTTTGCAAATACCGATGAAGCAAAACTTCTTACTCATGAAAGGCGGATGTTTGAGATTGCTCTACTAATAATAACTTTGATTGTTGATAACATTCAGTACAGTTCTTATCAGTAGCAAAGATGTGAAAGACTTCCTTTCTCTCCCTTTTTCATAGGAAGCCTTTCAGCGTTTGTGTATCAACATACCATCATGGCTTTGGCACTGCCCTGTAAATTAGTCATCCCTAGCCAAGGTAAGTTTGGGAACTCTAGTAGGGAATTCTCTCAGTGTTGGAAGCAATGGTACAATCTGTAGTCCACACATATTGGTGACAGACATGCTTTCAACAGTACAGCTGCAATCATGACCACACCTCCTAGGGATTAAGCCACAAACAACACACTGCAATTTAAGTAAACATGAATAGGATTGTGCTGTTAGTCGGAGTTGTATGTTGTGCTGGAGTTCTAAGAGAGCTTTCTGGGACCTCCAGGGAAAGATCTGAAACTTGAGAGTCAACCAGAGCTTAGAAAAGACCATTTTATGGATTATAACTTACAAAATCCCCTCAGGCAGCAGAGCTTCTGGACATGCTGGTTGAAGGATATTCTAGAAGCATTTCAAAGCTCTCAGAGAAGGGGGAAGGAGGATGTTTTGGGGTTAGCAGACTCTTGGGGAGTGCATGTGAAAAAGGTGAAGCTTGGCAGAAATGGGAGAGATGTGTCACTGAAGCCTGCCTTGGAACCTAGGCGTGTTCATACATTAACAGGCAGGATCACATAACCTGGTCTCAATCTATCCAGCACTTTCAGGGTTAAAACCATTAAGCTTGCCAAGTCTCAGGGTACCAGCTGACACCTCACAGGTTTGCTGTGATTCTCCTGGCTCTTGGGGCTGGGAGATGGATTTCAGGGCAAGCAGCAATAAAGAAGAAGAATGTTAGACTTGTAAAGCCTGGGCACCCAGCATCACCCAATCTCAGCTCCTGCTCTGTGGAAAGACCTCTGCCTGTGTGTTGTCTTTGCTTCTCTCCAAACCTTTGTCTATACTAACCCTGTGACATCACAAAGGCCCACCCATGCTTTGGCCTCAGGTTTTGTCCCTGAAGTCTCTGCAAATGGGGTTCTATTGACCTGACAAGCTCCAGTGCCAGCACTTACAATCTGTCACTCTTGTAAGCCCAGAAATGGATTAACTGGTGCAACTCAGAGCTCAGAACATTATTTGAAAATGGAACCCACTGTGTTACATTCATGTTAAAATCATTATTTTGTTATTCTGTCTGCAACAGTGATTTATTGCATTGTGTTGGCTCTAGCAGGGGGTTAAAAAATACAAAGAAATAACTTCCAGGGCCCTCTAATGTCCAGTCGTGATGCTGAACCTTGAAAATATTTACCAAAAGACTAAGTCAAAAGAAACAATACTTTCTTTGCCACTCATAATTTACATAACATAAAACCTGAAAAATTCATGTCAAAATGTCTCAAAAATTGCCTTTAAATGTAACTTTTGAAATTAGCTAGTTTTACTCATTCCACTGAAGTAACTTAGTGAACATGCTCTGCATTGCTTTTCAAATGTAACTTACACTGCCATTATACAACAAGCCAAAGTAATAGGTAACTGTTACTTGTAACAAGTTACTTCCATATTCGGATACAACTGATAGATTAATTATTGTAATATGATCAAGACACTTAGCTCTTAAAAAAAAACCCCAGAACCATTAGACATGAACATTCACAAGACTAACAACTGAATAAGCACTTGAATCTCCAGTAAATATGTTTGCAAATTGCTTGCTGATGGTAGTGATGTGGATTTAGATCATGCTGCAGGAGAATAATGAAGCAATTCCATTTTTAAATTGGCTCTCTATCTACCTCTCTCTTTGGCTATTTATCGGTATGTATGTACATAGGTCAAGATGATGAGGGCCCTTCCAGGGAATGCTTTAGAGGCAGATTAATTGCAGGGCTGCAGATTAACACATGTTGCAGTGTGGGTTGCAACTGTCTTCAGACAGAGTTTCCAGAGTTTGATTCCTGTTCACTCCCTCTGTAGATTTCATTGGAGGAGGAGAAACTCCTACCACAAGCTCAGAAACCACTCTCCCTCTTTCACCAAAAGCCGCTGGTGAGTAAAACAGGGGGAAAAAAATACACATTTATGAACTTAATAGTAATTGTCAGACATACTAAAATATGTTATAAACCTGCATCTACCCTGTTTCCCTGAAAATAAGACCTAACCTGAAAATAAACCCTAGCATGATTTTTCAGGATGCTCGTAATATAAGCCCTATCCCCAAAATAAGCCCCAGTTAAGTGAAACCCCGCCCTCCACCATTGTGCAGCAACCAGATGACATAACTGTATTTGGATAAATGCAGACTGTTGTGCATGAAAAAAAAATGAAACATCCCCTTAAAATAAGCCCTAATGCCTTTTTAGAGCAAAAATTAATATAAGACCCTGTCTTATTTTTTGGGAAACAAGGTATAGTTTAGCTCTCATGTGTTCCATTAAAATGTGTTGTTGTGAAGATACGGCACTTGCTGTCAATCAAATCAGAGTGTTCTCTACTTGGGTAAAATGTAGAATTTTAGCCTTCCTGCCAATTTGCTACAGTGATTTCAGTGTCTGAATAATTTTCACAGATATGTGAAGGTGTGAAATGGTATTTGTGCTGAAAACCTCAAGTGACTCTAATATAGTCCTTCAGCCTGCACACCACTGCCCACGTCTGGCCAGAGAAGCAAACTACAGGGAAATGACACAAGTTTCATTTAGTGCAAAATGAGGCTTGTGAGGTTTTCTGGCCAGATGAAACTGCTGGTTCAGGGAGACTCCCTGCTAGTCCGACTGAACATAGGTTACAGCTCCTTTCAAAGCAAGGATAAGCAAGCAAGAGTGAGAGACATCTAATTGTCACTGTATTAAAACTGAAAGCAACCTTTAGGAAAGAAATGGGCATATGGTGCAACTTGTGCCCCCTCAAGTTCTTTGGGGGCACAACCTGCATTCTGAAGAAAGGAAATCTATGGGTTTTATTTTTTTAGATTCATGGTTTCAGAGGTTTACATGGGTCTGTAGAGACTCAGGGGATTGCAATTTTCTATCCATGTTTTAGCATCCATGCCAAATATCCTCAGCCCTTGGAGACCCATCAACATATTTGGAACTTTGAAAAAATGTTCCTGCTGCCACCATGAACTGGCAGCTGTGTAGGGTGTTTTCCACTCCAACAGCAAAGGTTCACAAGCCCACTGATCGACCTTTTCTTTTCTTTTTGCTCTTCTGACATTCCAGTGTGCAACCTCTTGTACCTGCACTCCATGGCCATGGAGACTCTCACCGGCAAAGCAGCAGTTCTGAAAGCGGTGTCGTCCACTTTTGAACAGGAGGTCCTCCCGACGCCGACCATTGTCCACTTCAAAGTTACTGAGCAAGGAATAACTTTGACAGACATCCAAAGAAAGTAAGAGAGCTGACCTGGGGGCACCTTTTCTTCACATCATTGTTCTAATTAAAATGCTGGAAGTGGGAAATACAGCATTTCTTTTGAAATTTCACAGGCAAAAAAAGAAAGAAAAGAAAAAAATCTGGTGTATTTTTAACATCTTTCTACTCTCCCAAGGAACTCCAGCCAGAGGGTCCAGAAAAGTCACTATGTTGGCTGGGGGATTCTGGGAATTGTAGTCTAAAAAGTAAATTTCTCAAGATCTTTATGCTCTATTCTTTTACTTTGGAATGTTGTTGTTTAGTTGTGCGATTCTTCGTCACCCCATGGACCAGAGCACACCAGGCACTCCGGTCTTCCACTGCCTCCCGGAGATTGATCAAATTCATATTGGTAGCTTCGACGACACTGTCCAACCATCTTGTCCTCTGTCGTCCCCTTCTCCTCTTGCCTTCACACTTTCCCAACATCAGGGTCTTTTCCAGGGAGTCTTCTCTTCTCATGAGATGGCCAAAGTAGTTGAGCCTCAGCTTCAGGATCTGTCCTCCCAGTGAACACTCAGGGTTGATTTCCTTCAGAATGGATAGGTTTGTTCTCCTTGCAGTCCAGGGGACTCTAAGGAGTCTCCTCCAGCACCACAATTCAAAAGCATCATGTCTTCAGCGGTCAGCCTTCTTTATAGTCCAGCTCTCACTTCCATACATTGCTACTGGAAAAACCATAGCTTTGACTATCCGGACCTTTGTTGGCAAGGGGATGTCTCTGCTTTTTAAGATGCTGTCTAGGATTATCATCGTTTTCCTCCCAAGAAGTAGGCGTCTTTTAATTTTGTGGCTGCTGTAACCATCTGCAGTGATCATGGAGCCCAAGAAAGTAAAATCTGTCACTGCCTCCATATCTTCGCCTTCTTTTTGCCAGGAGGTGATGGGACCAGTGACCATGATCTTGTTTTTGTTGTTTTTTGATGTTGAGCTTCAGACCATTTTTTGCGCTTTCCTCTTTCACCCTCATTAAGAGGTTCTTTAAGTCCTCTTCAGTTTCTGCCATCAGAGTGGTATTATCTGCATATCTGAGGCTGTTGATATTTCTTCCGGCAATCTTAATTCCAGTTTGAGATTCCTCCAGTCCTGCCTTTCACATGATGTATTCTGCATATAAGTTAAATAAGCAGGGAGACAATATGCAGCCTTGTTGTACTCCTTTCCCAATTAGGAACCAAAATTTGGGAATGCTCTGCAGTAGCCAAGCTTATTAAAGGAGGCTAGAAAAGCCATTCCTAATCATCTCACATTGTCTCTGGTTGTATATATTGTGAAGTAGCTGCAACTCAAATGATTTAAGTTTGCAATGCCATAAACACATGCTTGAGAGCAAGCACGTGTAGGGTACTTTTAAGTAAAAGGCAGTTGTGGAAATGATGGTAGAAGCACTGATAATGCACATGTGAGCACACTATCACCAACAATTCTAATATCTCGCTTTTTTCAGGGTTTTCTTCAGACGACATTACCCACTGACTACCATTAGCTTTTGTGACATGGATCCTGAAAATCGAAAGTAAGAGTTAAAGCTACCTTTTAGTGCAGACCTCACAGCAAGTACTGTATTCTTATATTTGTAAGAATTGTCATATTCAGAAATTACTCTCTCTCTCCCCAGTTTATTATTTATACAATTTAGATCCAAATATATTTTATAATAGAAATGATCTCTCACTCTTTAAAAAAAAAAGACATAAAAGAAAATTGTCTGTTGAATTGCTGTTTCCAAATAAGTAAGAATTATAGCTGTCTCCACCACTGGGCAGAGTGACACAATTACTCTAAATAGAACATGCTGGTGGGGAGGTAGGTCAGTGGCAATGTGGGGAAGCTGTAGTACAGAAAGTAACTTTTCCAAACTGTTCTACATGGAATGGGATTGATTCCACACTGCTAATGCAATGCTCACCTGAAAGACAGACTTGAAACAGTGGAACCACATGGCACTTAGTGATACAACCATATTCTCCACAGCAATCCAACAATGCCTGCCTCATAACACAAACAAAAGTGGAGAGGACTCTTCAGGCTATAAACTGCAGTCTTAAAGTAGTTACATGCAAGGCAAAATAATCCCTAGAATGTAAAGTGGGATAGTTTCAGGATGTCTGTATGGGTGGTCATAGGCTAGGTTGTTTGGGAAGTTCTGGCACTTCTAGTACAAAAACTGATCCCTGGCACATACCCCTCGTCCAGCTCTGAAATAATACCATCTGTATTTGAGATATTTATTCAGGCTCCTGTTGCAGAACATTTATAGAGAAGATTCCATAATGTTGTTGGTCCGCATTTCTTACTACTCATGTTAAGATATTGTTGGAGGGCAACAATGCTTTGGAATACATACAGCATCTTCAGTTCTTAGAGTGGGGAAACATTAGTATCTACAAAGGAATTCATGTTTTAATTCCTGGAGTGAGCCGCAAGGTTGGGAGAAAAGTTGTAAAATGTAAAGTGCAGTATATGCTACTGGTTCAAACCAGAAGAAATCAGTGTGGTCGAGAATTAGGGATGCTTACTTGGCAAATGAAATTTGCAAGGAAATTATTAAAATGCAAGTTTTGCTCTAAGTGGCTTGGTCTAAATGTTTCTGTTTTAGACCAATAATCTGTGATTATAATGTGCCATTTTGATCCAAGGTAATTCAATTGTTTGGTTTTGTATAAATTCTAATTTCTCCTCTTCCTTTCCTTTTGTTTTTCAGGTGGCAAAAATTTTCAAAAACTTCAAGGTAAGTGAGATGAATGGAATAATGGATGCAGTCTTCCTGGGATATACATACTGTATATAGGAACTAAATCATATGATGTAGGGTGACAAATATTGGTGTGTTTGTCTTAATTAACCAACAAACAGAATAATAGCTTACTGACACAGAATACATAAATATGAGACTAGCATCCTGCCTGGGCACACCAATCTTGTCTGATTTTTGAAAGCTAAGCATTGTTCACTCTGATCAATACAAAGAGGAATATGGATCTCAAGTGCAGTACGGAAGTCTGGTAGAACTAGACAAGAATCCAGGAACAGAATTAACAACACTTGATAAGCTATACAGACTAGTGTTTGACCCAGTACAAAGCAGTGTTCTATGTTTCCAACAGCTTTGATAGTAACCCAATATCCATATCTTAAGATTGTTTTCATGAATTTTAATGGAATTTCTGTACACACACTTGTGCTTTAGGGCCTTGTTATACAAAACACAGATTCTGTATCCAAAAGCAGTGCACCCTTAAAAGGGAAAAATCATCTGTTTCTTCTAACATGAATTTACCTCAATTCTCATTTGCCAAATCAACCTGGTTCTGTTTTATGACTGCTCAACTGGAAGACAGCACAGCTATCTGTTTGCCTGTCTGATGCCTCAAGTTTGTAGCACTTAAAAGGTCTATATTGCTCAGAGGGATAACACTGGCAGAAGAGGAAATACACTTTTGCCTTAATATGTGATTTGACTCCTAATACTTTAGCTTCCATCTCAGCATTTACTGTGCATGCTATTAATTAATTTTGGATTTGAAACTTGATCTGTACTTCTGTACCCTCCTATTCTAAAACAAATGAAATAACAAATTAATGAAAGAGGGAAAGAAGAAATGGGGCACATAACACGGTCAACCTGACCATTGCCCAGCTTTCTAGAGCTCCTCGACCTTCCTTGACTACCACCAGCAAGATATATCAGGCAACACAAGCATATGGACAAATCCTTAAAACCTCAGAGTAACACACACTACCTTGTCTACATGCAAGCCACATTTCTTCATGTACTGAGAATGTAAACCTATATCTTCAAAGTATGTTTCCTGTCTGTCTCTCACCACAGGATCTTTGGTGTTGTTGCCAAAAGCCCATCAGATGCTGAAAATGTTTGCCACCTATTTGCAGAATATGATGCAGTGCATCCGGCTTCCCACGTTGTTGACTTCATCAAGAAACTTCTGCCTGCTACCTAACGTTACCCTCATGCCAGTTTTTTTTTTATTTCCAAGCAGCCCCACCACTACCCTCAGCATCGCAACACCAAGTGCACTTCCACTCCCCCTTTATCCTTGAAACTGTTTGGGTTGCATCATGAAAATTCTTAAGGCTCCAGACTAATATAAATTGTTTGGGTCAAGAGCTGGAACAGAAAAGTAACCCACTTGTGGGAAAACTCCTACTGGAAATGGCAGGTTATCTTACCAATCTTTATAGGATTGGTTTCGTCAAGGACCTGGTGAATGTTTCAGGTTCTGCTCTGTCTACAAAAAAGGCCAGTGATGTAACTTCTGATTCTCCTTTTCATCATGAAGATTCTTTTGGATGATTTGTCAAAATGTACCTCTTCCTAACGCCTAACATAGTCTTGTTGCATGAAAGGTTACACACATTGCCATCTTTAAGATAAGTCTGCCAGCCGCAAATGCTACTGATTATTATACCAAAAGTATTTGTATAATATCTGTACCAAAGATTTTTTATGTATTATATCCTTTTTCCTCTGCTCGTCACTTGTTATATTTGTAACACAATAAAGTCTAATTTTGCAAACTAATTTAGCCATCTCATCTACAATGAAATGCAAGTCTTTTGCCAAGAAACAAATCCACTGCAGGCATTTATTGACTAGTATCCATGACATAACTGATAAGGAAAGCCGCAACTCTCCATCCGTAATCCCTAGCTTTTCTAAACAGTTTACTATTTTTTTTATTACTTAGAGTTCAAGGCAGCATTACAGGACCTCTCCTGTCCCCTTTTTATCCTCACAGTAGCTCTGTGTTGTAGGTCAAGCTAAGAGTGCCTGACCCAAGTCGCAAACAAACACTTAATTTTTTAATTTAATTTTTATCGCATTTATACCTTGCCTTTCCAGTAAAAGAAAGTGCTCAAGGCAGCTTACAAAACTATTAAAAGAAATTAAAACAGATAAAACAGATATACTGTACCTAACAACTTTAACTACAGGCCTACACAGGCTGTCACATGGGCTAAAGAGAGATGGGCACGAAGCAAACTACGAACCAGAAAAACAGACAAATTGGGCTGGTTCAACATTCCAGTCTTTAGCAAAAACAAATGGCCGGCCACCCCCCGTCCCCACCGGCCCCAATGCCTCCCTACCTGGTGCAGCAGCATCTACCCCGCCTCCTGCAGACCCGCTGATCCGTGGCACCACAACAGTGGCACAACAGGAGCAGGTAGCCCCTCCCAGGTACCCACTGAAAACCAAACCATGTACTGGTTCCATTTCCCAGCTGGTTTGTGGCTAACCACGAATGGTCAAGAACCACCATTTTTCCATTCCGTGCCCATCTCTCAGGTTAAGCAAATTCTTTGATTTCCAGCCTCCCAAAAACTATTCTCATCTGCCTAAAGAGAGGGCTGCTCGTGAATGGGGTGAGGAAGACTCCACCTGGAACTTTGGGGTTAAAATAAATAATCCCAGGTGAAAACATCCAATTTTGAGAACTTAAGTCTCCCACCCTAGCTATTTATCCTATGAACGGCGCTGCAAAGATTGAAAGAAGGGCAAGCATCAAAAGAACAACCACATTTTGGCTCAGGTGGTTGTTCAGGAAGTGGGGCGAGGTATGTGGGCCATCATCATCTAGTCGTTTAGTCGTGTCCGACTCTTTGTGACCCCATGGACCAGAGCACGCCAGGCCCTCCTGTCTTCCACTGCCTCCCGGAGTTGTGTCAAATTCATGTTGGTTGCTTCCATGACACTGTCCAGCCATCTCATCCTCTGCCGTTCCCTTCTCCTCTTGCCTTCACACTTTCCCAACATCAGGGTCTTTTCCAAGGAGTCTTCTCTTCTCATGAGATGGCCAAAGTATTGGAGCCTCAGCTTCAGGATCTGTCCTTCCAGTGAGCACTCAGGGGTGATTTCCTTCAGAATTGATAGGTTTGTTCTCCTTGCAGTCCAGGGGACTCTCAAGAGCCTCCTCCAGCACCACAATTCAAAGGCATCAATTTTTCAGAGGTCAGCTTTCTTTATGCCCCCCCCCGCATCCTTACTCTGCCATCTGCCCCACGTCTGGCCCAGTTTGACCCCCCCACACCGTTTTTCGGTATCAGCCCAGCAGTGATTTACATATCCTTGGGAGACGCATGACAGAGCCCTTCTCTTGCGCTCCCGGCCTCTCTGCTGGCGAACACTCCTGTGGAAGCCCTCGGTTGGCAAACGCGCTCGCTCGCTCGGTTGGTGTTTTGCTCTTGGCCTGCCCGCAGCAGCCGGCAGAAGCGGCGCGGCCTCCTGCTGAGAAGGAGCCGTGTATCTATGAGTTCTGAGCCGCAGGGGGTGCCCGTGAGCCCCTTTCAAGCCAGGCCCACTTTCTCCGGCCAGCCCATAAGTGCGGGAAGGGCTCTGTTGCTGGTTAGCAGGGCCCTGTTTTGATTAAAGCAAGAACGTAATCACCCTTGTTAATGTTCAGCTTGCTTTTTATTTCCCTCTGTCCCTTTCTGGTTTTAATTTCTTTCTTTCTTTCTTTCTTTCCTGGCAGCCTCAGCCTGCCGCGTCTCCGGGGGAATCTGGGAAAGCATCTTACACAATCCGTGAAGAAGGCCCTTGCTTTTGTCATTTGCTCATATTTTTGACGATTGCATCCCATAAAGACGCATTTCGAATCACAAAGGGGGCTGCGAAGAGGCAAAACGCGCTGCCTTCCCAGCTGTCAGTGGAACCGGCTGCTTTCTAGACTGGCTGGTGTGGGGTTGTTGTTGTTTTTTGCTTCTCCTTTTTGTTTTGGTCTTTTTATTGCCTGGGTTTGGGTTTCTTTTTCTTCTAATGGCCTCTGTGGCGCTATTTCAGCTTTCCAGGGGAGGGGGCGGTTTGGCACTTGTTTTCGGCTTTGTGCAAATGATGAAAGGTGCCTGGAGAATCCCAGTCCAGTCTTACTTCTGTGTAGTAACAATTGGTTATATATTCAGAACTGTAAAACAGAACCCAATGGCGGGGTGGGGTGGGGCAATATCTATCTCAGACTATGCCCTGTAGTTTTTAACTAGTATTTATGTTGCTTCCCCCAAAATATTCCAAGTGCTTCACACATATAGTTTAGCAATGTTTACAACAGGCAAACAGGTACTTTAATTGCATCATTACAGATCTCTGACAGCAGGTGGGATGTTACTGAGGCTGACGCAAAAGATTAACTAAAGCAGCAGTAAAGATTAATTCTTCACCACTCAAGTAATCCTAATTCTGGTTTGGGATTCATCCAGTCCTGCCTTTCGCATGACATATTCTGCATATAAGTTAAATAAGCAGGGGGACAATATACAGGCTTGTCGTACTCCTTTCCCAATTTTGAACCAATCAGTTGTTCCATATCCAGTTCTGTTGCTTCCTGTCCCTTGTATAGATTTCTCAGGAAATAGATAAGGTGGTCAGGCACTCCCATTTCTTTAAAAACTTGCCATATAGATTATACCTGACTAGCCCAGTGGTTTTTCCTACTTTCTTCAGTTTAAGCTTGTTTTGTTATAAGAAGCTGATTATCAGAGCCACAATCAGCTCCAGGTCTAGTTTTTGCTAACTGTATGGAGCTTCTCCATCTTTGGCTGCAGAGAATATAATCAATCTGATTTTGGTATTGCTCATCTGGTGATGTCCATATGTAGAGTTGCCTCTTGTGTTGTTGGAAAAGGGTGTTTGTGATGACCAGCTTGTTCTCTTGACAAAACTCTATTAGCCTTTGCCCTGCTTTGTTTTGAACTCCAAGGCCAAAATTACCTGTTGTTCCTTTTATCTCTTGACTCCCTACTTTAGCATTCCAGTCCCCTATAATGAGAAAACCTCTTTCGTTGATGTCAGTTCTAGAAGACGTTGTAAGTCTTCATAGAATTGGTTAGTTTCAGCCTCTTCAGCATTGGTGGTTGGTGCATAAACTTGGATAACTGTGATGTTGAAAGGTCTGCCTTGGATTCGTATTGAAATCACTTTATCATTTTTGAGATTGTATCCCAATACAGCTTTTCGCACTCTTTTGTTGACTATGAGGGCTACTCCATTTCATCTATGTTATTCTTGCCCACAATAATAGATATTATAATCGTCTGAATTGAATTCGCCCTTTCCCGTCCATTTTAGTTCACTGATGCCCAGGATGTCAATGTTTATTCTTGCCATCTCCTGTTTGAACACATCCAGTTTACCAAGGTTCATCCATCTTACATTCCAGGTTCCTATGCAGTATTTTTCTTTGCAGCATCAGACTTTCCTTTCACTTCCAGGTGCGTCTGCAGCTGAGCATCCTTTCGGCTTTGGCCCAACCACTTCATTAGCTCTGGAGCTACCTGTACTTGTCCTCTGCTCTTCCTCAATACCGTGTTGGACCCCTTCCGACCTGAGGGGCTTATGTTCCAGCATCATATCTTTTAGCCTTTTGTTTCTGTCCATGGAGTTTTTTTGCAAAGATACCGGAGTGGCTTGCCAGTTCCTGCTCCAGGTGGATCACATCTAGTCAAAACTCCCCACTATGACCTGTCCATCTTGGGTGTCCCTGCACGGCACAGCCCATAGCTTCTCTGAATTACTCAAGCCCCTTCGCCACGACAAGGCAGTAATCCGTGAAGGGGTACTCCTTATATAGCCAGTCTCAAACTCAAAGGGTCTACAAACCTTTGCAGAGATGGAAGACCTTACTAGAAGGACTGGCCTCAAAACAGAATGGAGTCAAATCATTTTGTGACCGTTCCAGGGGAGTTTCCTATCATTTCAGTTGGTGATTCTGTCAATATCCTGATTGATCTCTGGGATAGGAGATTAGCTACCATAATTGCTCCTGAGTGTGTTTTCCCTTTTCAGCATCAACTGAACCTTTTTGAGAAGCTCAGAGGCTCAGCCATACATTTAAGATTTTGGTAACTATTCTACATTAAAGCATTTTTATCTTTAAAATAGATTGATTAATTTTAGAAACTGTGTAGCCTGCACAGTTCATCATTTGCTACTAGTGTGCAGACTACCCCCCCCCACATCAACAGAAAGACACTGCTATAGGGGAGGGGGAAGCTAAAGGGGAACAGCACCTTCAAATGTGGGAGGGAAGAGCACTGGTGGTGGGGAGATAGGAAAACAATGTAAAGCTGGATACTTCTGTTAGGCCTATAGAAAAGAGAAGTGGCTGAATGTTGATCAGATTTAACCCCCTCTGGTGGTCGAAGGCGGAATAGCAGCTTCCCATTAGTTTCTATGGACGGAAAAGAGCAGATACGGATCAAATGGTTTTCAATGCATTCCTATGGGAAATGCAAATTTGACCTGAGAACTTTTTGACTTGAGAACCGCCTTCCAATACGGATTAAGTTCTCAAGTCAAGACCCCACTGTATAATCACTTCCCAAAGTTGTATGTTTCAGAAGGATTACTTTTCCAAACGAATGTTTAGAATAGGCATACAGTATTTAGCTGAATTTCATTTCGGAACCATGAAACAAAATTGCATTGTGTGCAGTTGTGTGTGATTAGGGACACCTACTCACTCTCAAGAGGGAATATGAACTTTATATTTGTTTGTTTTGTTC